CGTGGACTCTGTGAAAATGTTCTGTGGACTCTGTGAAGCTAAGCGCTGCCTGTTTTGCGCTAAGATCAGTTTCTAAGGAACTTAACTTCTCAACCTCTAGAATAGCCTATTATGCCCTTTTTGAGTCACATCTTCGTTATGCCCTTCCATTCTGGGGTACTTGCTGCGCAACAAAATTTGATCGTGTTTTCATACTTCAAAAGAGAGCAGTTCGATATTTATTGGGACTGAACAGTAGAACTCACTGCCAGAATTTCTTTAAAAATTTGAAAATACTGACTCTTCCTTCTTTATTCATTTTTGAATCCGTTTGCTTAATCCGCAAGCACATATCTGCTATTCCCGAAAGGCCATCTCATAACTATCCACTTAGGAATGCAGAGCACGATCTTTATCTGCCAACCCCGAGCTCAGAACTAGTTAAGGGTTCAATACTGTACAATGCCAAAAAAATGTACAATCATCTGCCTTTGAATATCAAGTCGCTTTCATTCTTTCCGCATTTCGCAAAGCTCTAAAAATCATACCTACTGAAGAGAGCCCTATATGCGGTAAACGACTTTTTGTTGATGTTTAATTATGAACAATTTGAATTTTAAAATTTTGATCATCTCACACACTGGTCAAAGGTCAAGTATTTAATATTTTATAACTCTAAAATTACATCTATTTACTGCGTACTGTTCTAAAATTGTCCATGTATATTCTTTTTGTAATTTTAAAGACAAATTATTTTGAATTGTATTATTTGTATTGTGTATTTTTTGTTGTTTGTAGTTTTTTTTGTGATTTTGTTGTTTGTGAGTGCTTTGTCGATGAAGCTGTTTTGGCTTTTTGTACAATAAAGCGTTGTTTGTTTGTTTGTTTGGGTATTTCTTTAGGTATATCTCTCATTCTTTTGGTATATCTTTCATTTTTTTGTCATTCAATAGAGTTGCAATATATTTTTGGTTTACAAATAAAGTACATGCATAAATTATGACCAGGGTTCCGTTTGTCTTGAAATCCATATCAGCGACTCGGCGAGAAACTTTGGGCTTATCATCAAGTTTAAAAATCGTTATTAATGCGCATTTCCTAATTTCAAGTATTTTTAAAGAGACTTGTATATCCGATAATAGATTTTTTGTTCTTTAAATGAGACAATTTTGGATGAGCTTGGTCTCTTCACATAATTTCAACAGCAAATAACTTGGTTGGTTGGAAATTTATATGAGTAAATTTTAGTATACATCACATTATTTACTCAGTATCTTCCACTAATAGACCGCTACTTAAACAAGATATCTTATATTATGACAATCCGTTTCAATGTTTACATTAAAATTAATTCAATATTCTAACTGACGCGCTTCATATAGCTATCCAAACATAGGATACTGCCTGTGGTTTGATAATGCAATGAAAATTTCATTGCTCTATATTATCTTAGACCGGTATAGCGTTTAATATACCTATTAGTGATGGGCATTATGAACCTTTTTAGTAAATCGAGTAACGCAATTCAATTTCTCATAATGAATCGACTCTTACGATTCATGCATTTGAACAAATTACAAACATATTTTTCGTATCACAGTATAAATAGATATTTTACGGCTTTTGTCCGACTCTATTGATGGTTCCTATATCATTGTTATTACCTATATTACAAACATTTGGGTACTCAAGCTCGTAGTATATAATTCTAATATTTATTTTTTAAAGAAACCGTATTATAAGTAATGAATGAATTCTGACGATTCTTTGAACGAACGAGTCGCATTATGATTCGATTCAATTCTTACTATTTTTTACGACTCGTTTGTTCAAATTTTACGGATTCGTGCTGGCCGCGATTCAATTGAACGAACTGTATTCTAAGCTGTTAATCGATTCTCACGATTCATTTTTAATGCTCGTTGAATCACCTGCCCACCTCTAGTACCTATACTTTTTTTTACACTGAAAAAAATATTGTTCATAATATTAATGAACATTGATTATTAACTGTTGTTTCATTGGGACAATGATTCTTTTCATTAATATAATGCTTTGTTAATCATAGATCGATGTCCGATTTATTAATACTATGAATCTAATTTCATCAACATAATGAAAATCTGGTTATTAAATTATTGTAAGATTTTCATTAATATAATGAACGCGTTCTTTATTTTAGGGCTGAAACTTTAATAAACACATTTACATTATATTAATGTACTAAATCATTGATTAATGAGTTGTACATTGTGAACAATGAACAATGTTATTAGTACAACGAACACACTACATTATATTAATGTACGCGGTTATTAATACAATGAATAAAATGTTAGGGCTTAAATGTCAGCCATGTTGATCGATTACTTTGGCACTTTAATAACGTCTGTGTGGTTGAGTTATTCAGTGAGGCTTTAGTTTCATTAGAGCGGTAAGTGTTCTCTTCAATATTTTAAACATTTTAAATAAAAGTCCTATCGTATTGTAGTTAATTTGTTGTGTTGTCAAATCAAATTCCGCTGTGTGAGATCTCTGGTGTGGGTATTCATTAAAACAGCGATTTCCAAATATGTTTCAGAAAATAAAAAACAAAAAGAAGAAAAACATAGTAACACGTCAAGGCATGGAACTGATTATGGTAAATTCGAATGTTCTTTTAATATTTGGCATTTTAATTATTTTGATATACGTCTTTTAGAACCGGAAGATGTTGAGACCTGCCTTCGAGCCCTCAAATTCGACAATTTAACATCGGACCATAGATTTAGGAAGAACAGATATCACATTTTGCATTTTAACCCGATCAAACAATCGGAGGTTGACTACGTACTGTAAAAACCAACTGAGATAGAGAAGGCGACATTGCCACATCTCAAATTTGCGCCTATCTACTTAGTTTGATTTGCAGAAAAGGTGACTTTAAAACCTTAACCGGATATCAATAAATCTCAATTTCTTAATTAAATTAATAGTTTATTTTTAAAGAAGCATGCGTAATATTAATATGTTATTAACCAGAGGATATATGCGTTACTATTAAAGGACATGTTTACTGTTTAATGTGCTGAAACGTCTAGAACTATTGGCAACGTCGCTGCTAGTCTTCCAGAATGAAACGAGCCGTCCGTCCCACCAGCCCTCGCGACGGCCCTTGGTCCGTTATAGCGTAGTACGTTTAGCTTACGGTGTGTTTGAAGTCGGAATCAAGTCCGAAGTGAACTTTTCAGTGTTTTTCAGTAGTTTTTGTTTTTGTTTAACGTACTTTTGAATCTGCGAATTTTCAATAAGGTACGACAGTGTCAAGTGTGTGGAAAAATAATCTCAAATAACCCGAATTTGTCTTTTCCAGGTAGGTATTGTTTCCGCCGCGCCGTAATCGCCGTACATAGGCGTCCCACAGGGGAGCCTCTCACAATTAAAATAATTTCTAATTATATTTGTTGAATTTTGAGCTATTAAAACAAGAACGTAGTAGCTGGTAATTGAATTATAATTCGCCTCAATTACTACTTAACTGTTGTAGATCATAACAAATTTGAATATAAACGTTGCATTTGAAACTTTATTATAAGCCAGAAAGTGACATTGTTTTTCTTAAAATTGCGTCATATTTTGGTCATTATATAAGATATTCTAAAGGAATTTTGCTCAACAAATAAACAAAGGTGTTTACCCGCCCTTTTTCACATTTTATTGCATTATTATATCTGCCCCTTCGGCCTCGTTTAAACAATTTTAACATTGAAAATGTTTCTGTTATCCTATATAAGGGAGCCCAAATCGAATTAAAATGCTACATTTGCCACACCATGACGTCATATATACAAGGGTATAGGAAATCTCGGCGCAGCGGCGGCAGTCGGCCAGCGCGCGCAAAAACCATTACATCGCTAATTGTTTATTGATATATCTTTATTAGTTTAAAAGCAAAAAATATGGGGTTTGCTTTGATACCTTGTCAAGACATAAGCGAAACTTTTAAATTGTTTCTTTTTTTCATTTAGGCCTTCGTTTTTCGTTAAATGAAAGTTATATTAGAAACAATCTATTTTTAAACCAAATTTTCGCATGATTGAAATGATTATTCATGTTTAAAGTTTTTTTTTGGTCATAAGCGCTAATGGCAATGTTTTTTCGTAAATAATTATAAAAAATTACTCCCTACGAAGACTTTATTGTGTACTGGATCAAAAAATAAGTATTTGTTTTCTTTATACGGTGGTATTAATATATCGATTTTTGATGATAGTGCCCTTTTACCCGGTCTAATTTTGTACTACTTTCGGAATAATGGTCCCCATATCATGTACTGTACTTCCATCCCTGAAAAATTCAGCTTGTGACACCGAAGTGAGAGGTAACGTCAAAATAAGCTTTAATCTACCTACATCATAGGTAGGTACTCTAGGTATATTCTACCTAGACAGTAGCTGAACTAGCTGACAGTAGTAATTAATTTGTTATCCGATAAGTAGTTGTCATTATATAAGTTTAATCATCTTATACCTCCTGTAACGGTAGGTTTTGGATTTTTCCTGATTGGTTTGTTAACTCTTTGAGGGGCACCGGTATAAAAATTGTACCCGGAAAATATATGTATTAGTGGGGCACCGGTCTAAAAAATGTACCACCCCTTCAAACATTTTTAGCTATTTGTGCAATGGAGCATTTTCTCGACCAACGTAATATTGGTCGCACTCTGACGGCTGTTTGTTGATTTAAACTGTTGCACGTGGCAGTTTCGGTTCTGCGATCAGTTTTATTGATAAAATCATAGCGTTAAGGTGGTTGCAAGTGAAAGTCTGCTGAATATACAGAAAAGTAAGTGAAATATAATAAAATATAGGTGCCTTTCCTGTAATAATAATATATTTGATATTTATAACAATAATATTATTTTGGTACAAGAAAAAAATATTTTTTTTTGTTTTATTTTGGTAGTTTGTTGTGGTACTATAAGTGTACCGTTGCACGCTTAGGCAAATATTCTATCCTGATTATGCCACATTATTTTTTAGATATTCAAGATATGGATTCGTTACCATTTAAGCTAAAAGGTTGGAGTTATGATGACCTGCAAGATGAATTGAATAATATATATAACGACGCGGAGCCAATACCTTCCGAGCCGGAGTCTGTATTTAGTGAGTCGGAAGATGAAGATGACCAAATACTGTTGGACCAAACTACACCTGCTTTGAATTTTACTGATTCTGATACTGATCCAGAAGATAACGTGCCATTATCTATTTTAGCAACTAATCTGCTTCCTGTACCACCCGTAAACTCTAACGACTGGTCTAAGCTTGTTGAACCAGTACCCCCCTCAAACTTTACGTCAGAGTCCGGAATTAAACCTGTTGTGAGAGAAATGGTTGATCCTACTCCGTACAAACTTTTCAAGTTATTTTTTAATGATGGTCTGCTTGACCACATAGTATTCCAGACAAATTTGTACGCACAGCAGTCTTTCAGCAAACAAAAACTTACCGAAATCTCAGAAATAAAAACCTTTCTAGGCATAAATTTATTAATGGGAATTAAACGATTACCGAGCTATAGGGACTACTGGAGTACTTCTCCTGATATAAATGATGCTTACATAAGTGGATTGATGCCTGTGAAGCGCTTTAGTTGGCTCCTTTCGAACTTCCATCTCAATAATAACGTGCTAATGCCTAAAAAGGGAGAAGCCCACTACGATAAATTGTACAAAGTGCGACCATTATTGATTGCGTTAGCTGAGAATTTTGAAAGGTGTATGGCTCCAAGTAGGGAACTTGTAATAGACGAGTCAATGATAAAATTCAAAGGGAGAAGCTCGCTCAAACAGTACATGCCCAAAAAACCTATTAAACGAGGATACAAGGTATGGATTTTAGCGAATAAAAGTGGCTACTGTCAAAAATTTGATATATATACCGGTAAAGCGGAGGACGCCGAAAAACAATTAGGTGCCAAAGTTATTAAACAAATGCTCAATGGATTGGAAAATAAAGAGCACATTGTCTATTTCGACAACTTCTTCAATAGTACCGAACTTCTGGAAGACCTGACGAAAAAACTAATTCATGCCTGTGGTACCGTAAATCCATCGAGAAACACTTTGCCGGTGTTTAAACCGGATCGAAAATTGAAGAGGGGGAATTTGAAGTTTTAGCAATCCATCAAAATTGTAGCTTTTAAATGGAGAGATAAGCGTAGTGTCTATTTACTGTCAAATTTTCATTCTCCTTTTGGAACCACTGAGGTCAATAGGAAAGAAAAGAATGGTACTACAACCAAAGTTCGTTGTCCGCAAGCGCTGTCAGATTATAACGCCAACATGAATTTTGTTGATAAATTTGATGAAAATCTGAATTTGTACAAAATAAACAGGAAATCAAAAAAATGGTGGCACAGGATATTCTTCTACTTTCTCGATGCAGCAGTAGTAAACGCTTTCGTTTTATATAAAGAACTTCATTCGCCAAAAATATCCATGAAAGAGTTTAGAAGAAGCTTATCCCAAGGACTAGTTGCAGACCTGGTTATAAAAAACAAAAGGAAAGCTTATAGCTGTGGAGAAACAGTTGCTAAAAAACAGTTTAAGCCATTCATTCCCCTAGAAATTAGGCACAACCAAAGTTCCCATCAACCGGAAAGAGATTCTCGGCGGCGATGTGCAAAATGCAGTACATCAAAACAGCAAGTTCGTACCAACTGGATATGTTCGGTTTGTCGAGTTCCTCTCTATCTGGGGGCAAACAAGACATGCTTCTAGGACTTCCACACTTTCGAGTAAAATTATACTGGGGCAATGGTACTGTATATGTACTACGTAATGACGTAATTATTTATATATAAAAAATTGTTTTTCATAGTTTTAGAGTTTATTTTGAATATTTGTTCTTAGTTCTGTTAAATATTTTCATTAAAAAGTAATGAAAAAAATCATGCCCCTCTAGCACTTTTATTTACTGACAAATGTTGCCCTTCAAAGAGTTAAACAAAAATATACTGGGCATATAAATGTCTGTTACAGGTTAATTCGTTAAAGAAATATGTTACACACATATTATTTTAATAATAATAGTATAATAGTAATGGCTATATTATGTTATAACACATACATATGTATTGAATGTACTTATTTTAACCAATGCATTGTTTTGTTTTTTTAATCTCACAAATAAGAAATTTTTTATAGTTTTTATTATAAAAAACAGTGATTATACAATTTATTTACACCCCTTACACTGTTTTCTGTAAGGGGTGTAACCAGGAGTATATTTCGTAACCTCTTACGATATAAGAGGGCACAAAGTGTTTTATTACTTAATGCTTAAAATTTAATAATAGCAACTTGCAAAGTAAAATATGTTGGAAAAATAATTAATCCATACATATATAAAAGCCCAAAGGGTTTTTTGTTGCATCCATCCCGCCGAAACCGCTTTACCAATCTTGATTCTTTTTTTAAATGAAAGGTATATATGTGTAGATTTGTTATGACGTATTTTTATAGTGCTTATTCTTTGCGGCTATTTGTGAGTGGCTATTTCTTTGTGTAAAACGACTAAATACTAAAACATACCTGAAAAACATCTACACACAATACCTCCAGAAATAAATTATTTGTCATTGTCAGTGGTGTGTCAGTTAGATTATATATTACGATTTTAGATATTTTAGATTGAGTTCATGCCACCAGCTTTACATACATAAATATTAGCATAAAGGTTCGTTTAAACGACATTAGTGAATTAGCTACACAAAGCAATTTTAGGAAATTCATCCTCTTAGAGAGTAAAATTATCTCGGAACAGTTTGTTGTATGAAAATTCCTTACTATTTGGTCTAGAAGAATGAAATCCTACAAAAAGAATTAGTAGAAATTTTTGAAATTCATCAACCAAATGGGTAAAGTTAGTAAAAATTTATATAAAACTTGGTGACCTCTGGATTATACACATAAAAATGGGCACAAAGGTAAAGCGAATTTATGAAATTTATACCCTTAGGGAGTAGAATAGGGAATGAAAGTTTGCTGTACGAAAATGCAATATTATAACAATTTAAACCAGACAGTATAAAATTTTATACAAGGGTTTATTTAGTTTTGTATTTTATCCTTCAAAGAATAAACAATAACCTATAAAGAGAGTATTAGTGCTCTTAATAAATAAAAAAAAGATGAAAAATAAAAAACGTCTATGCTCACTAGCTCTCTATAAAGAAGTAAAAAATCATTTAAATCAATGCATGAACGATTCGAGGTGTGACGCGAACGTAGTCGCGAGAAAAAGCTAGTAATTTATTAAATTATTTTATTTAACTCATTAATTTTCATCGAAAAGGAATTTTTGAAATTCGCCACTATATTAGTTAAAAAACTAAGAAACTCATATCAAATTTAAGTTTTGCGATTTTGACTTATACTTTTACAAAATCTGAACACATTTTAAAAGAAAAAAGTTTTTGATAATATTTGTGTAGATTGCCTACAAGTTGTATAACATAAATTTCTACGACCGGTCTACCTAGTGGTCTGCAGCATCGCCTTGTGGTGCAAACGTGGGCCTGTTAATCTGTAACGTGACGCACAACAGCCAAGAAAAACAGAAGCGTGGCTAAGAATTTAGTAATTTAAAAAAGTCTTTTAGATACAGTAGTAGGTATTAAAAGTTTTGTGTTTAAATGGGGTTTGCCTTTAACAGTTAAAATTATATCGTAAAGTGTAACTTTCCGTAAGAATTCTTTTTTTGCTTGCTTGTTTTACGGATAGGTGCGATCGCATAATTATTATTGATAATGTTTTATTTAATTTTAACATTACTACTTTTTCAGTGAATCTTTAAATCTGTTGTTTTTTGTTAAGTTCGTTATTTAAACATATGTATGTAATACACTCATATTAACACTAATGATATTTTTACGTTTTTATTCATCATTTTCAATGCCCCCCCCCCCCGGTTGCATCTTTGTGAAGGACTGTGAATTTTTTACCACCGTACAAATACCTCTTCCTAGAGTTATTTGTACGGTGTGTTTACCTTTTTTTAGAATGGGACGAACTGTAAATAATTCTTAGACTACTAGTTTTATACATATCTATATACAGAGTGACCCAGGCCTCCAAATACCCATATAAAACTTGAATAAATTACAACTTACCAAAGTGTTTGCCGAATTGTATTTTTTTTTCTAATTGTTAAATTTAGAATTTTATTGTATTTTCTAAAAGACCAACAAAATGTATACTGTGTGGTGCATTGGAACACGGGACATAGGAAATCACATGTAAATTTTGAAAAGCTGAAATATTATCACCCCAGATGATTTTATGCAAAAAATGTATTAGACTTATTTGAAGAGGCGTTAAAGTTGTACTTTTGTCTAGAATTTCATTTCATTTGGAAATTTATTTGCAAAAATCCACCTTCAAATTATCAAAATTTATAATACGGCCCAGAGAAAGCTACAATTAAAATACCAGCAAAAATTGAATTATGTCTTGAAGATAAATAATGAAGATGAATAGAGTAATTTTGTATAAAATAATTATGATTTTCGCAACTTCTAAAAAAGTTACGAGGGTTGAACGGCATTTTGCTGGAAATAGTATTTCCGCTGTGTTGATATGTTCGTAGCTCAGTCTCCGGAAATCCTATTCAACACTGTACCTAATGTACCTAACCACGAATGTACCTAACGTCTAATAACGAATAAATCAATAGTTTAAAGAATAAACCAGAGGTTTGAAACTCTAAAGGCACAGTATTAAGCACATGGAAGTGCGAAGACAAAAATACTGAACACGAAGAATACAACAACGACTTGAATATTGTGCATGTTGTAGGAAAGAAAAACATTGATCCCGTCTATTGGTAATACGGTAGGAAAAGACCACAGGATCTTTCGCCGAACGATTTTTCCTGTGGACCACACTCAAAAACCGTCTTTATGGGTATATTAAATACAGAAACTTAGATGAACTGAAAAAGACGTCTCTGTGGAACAGCTTTGTATTGTGAGGCGTGAATTTTACAATCATTTAACAATGATTAAATTAACGAACTTTTCCAAACCACATAAATTCTTGTAAACAAAAAAAATGTGATATCAGATTTGATAATGACACAATCACATTTATGCTGGTATTTTATTTGTAGCTTTCTCTGGGCCGTGTTATAAAATTTTAGTATTTTATCGGTTGATTTTTCCAAATAACTTTGAAAATGACTATTCCAAATAAAACGAAATTCTAGGCGAAAGTACAACTTTAACGCCTCTTAAGAAAGTCTAATATAATTTTTGCATAAATTTATCTGGGGAGATAATATTTGACTTTTTCACAATTTCCATGGCATTTTCCGAGGGAATTCCTATGTCCCGTGGAGCCATGCACCACACGGTATATAAAACGAATATCTAAGTTAATACAAAGCGAATAGACAGACAAAAGTAGGTAGATATAATCTAGTTTAAGATTGTATCAAAAGATCACTTAAGCAAAAAAGGTTAGAAGACAACGTTTATTCGACGTCGCAGAAGCTTCTACTTTGCTGTAGTACAAGTCCAACGTCGGCACAACGTTATAAAAACGTTTAAATTTATTTTAATACCTAAGGTAGGGAGCTAACTATTTTTTGTAACTAATCCAACGTTGCGTTTAGTAAACATGTGGTCGCAAGTCGTGAAAATGCTACTTGGGAATGTTATTATTTATTTACTACAGTTCCCTTATAATATCCATTTTAAGTGTCCATGTTTCGCATGCATAGGTTGTGTTGCCAATTCTTTCGATGATTTTTCTTTTTCTCTTGTTCTCTTGTGTTGCTGATATTCACTCCCAGATATTTGTATGAATTGACTTGTTCCAAAATGATGTCATTTATCTCTATATTTATACTAAGGGCTGGCAAAGGTTAGTCTTGGGTCGAGATTTCCGTATGTAAGAAGAGTATAATGCGTTTATAATGTACTGAACAAAGAGAGGACAGTAAACACGTTGCCAAACGTATGAAATAAACCAAGAAACTGTGCACATCGCTAAGAGACGTGGAAGGGGATATAGTAGATTTGTCGCAGTTGACCGGTCGACCCAATCAATACCTCTGTCAGTACTTAAAGTTCTAGGGAAAGGTTTACGTCATGCGTTCAGCTTCACGATTTAATTACGTCTCGTGATACTTGATTTGTTTATTTATTAACGAGTCGTTTTAATTTTCCCTATAGCTTCAATTTTTTTAAGTGCAAGCTAGAAACACTTGCATTTTTGGTAAAAATAAGTGGAATTGAGTGTGTGTTCGATAGTGGTCGCGCTATTAGAACTCTGAATTCAAAAATCGATATTTCGAAATCTATTAGAAATAATAGATTGTAGTTTTTCAAGAACTTTGTTAATATTTCTGCTGTATTTTCTTTGTATACAGTATGTGAAAATCTTTATCAATAAAAAAATTACACGATTGCTGAAAATTGCTATGCTGTAAAAGTAAATGGATGGATTGTTTACAATTTTTGAATGGAAAAAACAACCTTATCGATTTTTTCTTATGTAAACATATTGTAAAATATCCGAACTTGAAAATAAAAAAAACTTTCAATATCTAAAGTGGTTCTTGAGTTATGGCCTGTTATGTGTTAAAAAGTTGAGTTTTTAAATTACCGCGATTACTAACGTTTTCTCGTTATAAAAAAAATTACACCCTAACGATATCCTTATAATTCCATTTCAGATGCTCAGAAACATTACAAACCTAATGATTTTGTCTAGTT